TCCAGTCTTGACATCAAATCCCTATACTTGTTCTAAAAACTTATGAATAAAAGTAAAGGAGGATGTTTAACAGTGTGTCAACCACATATGATGAGGCCTTTCATTTTTTACCAGAGCTTGTCAGGGCAGCTGAGATACTTCAAATAAAGTAGTGGTTTACGATATCAAATTGCTTGCACGACTGTTGTGGTGGTTAATGGATTAACTTGGTAAACTGTAGTTTCTATCAATTTTACATGAATCATTCACAGATCAGAATTAGGTTGAGGACAAAAAAAAGTGAGTTAAATAATCTTGTTATTTTTTACTTGATGTATCTTATTACTCAGAACAACTGGCAAGCCAGCACACTAGTCATAGTTGCTGTAGTTGACTGCCATCATTGTAGGTATTTTCAAAATATTTCTACTTTTGTTTTATACTGAATTATTATTATTATTATTATTATTATTATTATTATGAAACCATAAATATAAAGTTGTTAAAGCTGAAATGTTTACCACATTTTTAGTCGGATGTAATACTGTTTGATTTGGCTTTCATTATGCCTCTGTAGACTATATTTAACAATACTATCCAAATCTGGGTGCAAAATTAATGCGTGCCAAATGCTCCTAAAAATTTTTATTGAGTACAAAAAAAAATAGCAGTGGTCTCGTACTAGATTTTAAAACATATTTCTGGCCAGTAAAGAGTGTACTTTAAATGTCAGTTAAGATTTCACATTTTAGAACATGAACCATTGTTGCTTATAATTTCTTCTTGAGGGAAGTTCAGAGCTCTTGTTAGAAATTCCACTGGTAACTAAAGACACTAAGTGTGAAATAACTAAGGAAGTTCAGAGCTCTTGTTAGAAATTCCACTGGTAACTAAAGACACTAAGTGTGAAATAACTAATATAGTAAATATTTTTCAAAACTTCAATTAAGTCAAATACAATTGGACTTTATAATTAGAAGAACTGATATCATTGGAGGGAAGAGTGTTTATGCCAAGGCTGGTAGAAAACTCTTGAAACCTGATGTTAGAAATATTTACAATAAAATGTGGTTGCTGTCAGCCAGTTGTCTCCTTATGGCTTGAACTAAGGCATGGCCTGAAGCTGCTGTATGTAATGTATAGATAGGGTACGTGTGTGTGTGTGTGTGTGTAATGTGTTGGAAAAGTGTCTAATCATTATCATAAAAGTAAATATGTACTCTGGCAGAACACCTGTCCTTTACAGCTTGTACAATGGGTCCTGCCTGCTTTGCTTGTAGTAGTTGTAGAATAGAAATGTATCTTCTGGTTCTTGAGTATAGTACCATAAATTTACCTACTTGTAGTAGCATCTTGAAAATAACTCGTCTGTTTCTTAGTTGACAATCTTTGGGATAATAAATGGTTACACTAACATTAGTCCCAACCTTTCCCAATGTTACTTGTTAAAACACACTTAAGATTTTGATATGAATCATAAAAAAATTTAATTTCATAATAATATTTATTTATGTTTAACATTCAGTGTTTTTAGTATTCTTTATGAAAAAATAACCAAAACTGGTGTAAGATTTAAGGATTTTTTTTAAAATTCATTTTAATGATTGAGGTTTTAGATGCAAACTTTCATCTTCAGCAGAAATTCACATTCAGTAAAAAAAAAAAGAAAAGCTGACAAAAAGCAAGATAAGATATTCTACTAGCTAAATAGCATTTTACCATCATGAAAGATTACAAATGAGTAATATAATTTTGAAGAAATTAACAATACACAGGTGCTTAAGTATGCACTAATTTGTGATTGATACGTATCATTACAGCAATGATCATTATATCATGAAATAGTGCTAATGGGTATGTGAATTTCAGAAAATATAATAAATTTTATGCTTAAGTAATGGTTTCAAGAAATTAATAAATAAACCTGTCATATAACACAGTAATAAGAAATTGTTATCTGTTTTATGTTAGTTATTATTTCTTTGAATTAGTTTTTAGGGAGAATTTTATTGACTGAATTGAGAATAATTTGACTCGGTTTGCAGCAATTTTTTTTTATAAATGTTTTGTTTTATGCACTTTTTCAAGTTTTGTTTAATTGTTGAAACCTCTATACATTAATCTCTGATTAGTAGTCCGATTGAATAATTTTTGAACAATAGTGCTCTCAAACAAATTCTTAAC